TTTGTCATTATGCAGAGTACAAGTACAGCGCTAATGAAATGCACTTCACTCCTGCGCTGATGAGCAAACGTCTCGTTAAGATAACGAGTGTGAGGGACTGTTATTAACTCGACAGGAGCTGCTGAGACATCAATACAACCAAACACACACACTGTAAAAAAGGACTTTTCTGATGCTGTAAACGGATTACTAGAGTATGTTCTACAAGGAGAATTATTTTGTGTTACTCAGCCTTTCAGATTCAAAATGTTGTGTTTAATTGCTTGCCGTTTCTTCGTAATTACTTGTGAAATTTACACAGCCACATTTGCGGATCTGGCGGTAGCACTTTTAGCAGTAGCTTAGATTAGACCGTTAGCATCTCGCTCAATGTTTTCCTATTTAAAGCTTGACTCTTCTGTAGTTACATCGTGTACTGAGACCGGCGGAAAATGAAAAGCTGTGATTTTCTAGGTCGATATGGCTAGGAACTATACTCTCATTCCGGCGTAATCATCAAGGAACTTGGGTGCAGCAGGCGCAATGATATTACGCAGCGCCTGAAAATAGGCTAGGTCATTTTTGAGGGAGATGCTAACGGTCTAATCCGATTCAATTAAATGATCTATGCTAAGCAAAGCTAAAAGTCCTCCCGCCAGACCCGGAGATCGGCGGAATGGATACGAAAACGGTAAAACTCAACTGTTTAACTCTAGGGGAGTTGGAAAATTAGCCTATTTTCAAAAATAGTGGCGTTCCATTAAGGACTAAGCTGCTTGGATTGAGCTGGGCAGGTCGTTCCACCAGGAGGGAACATTTAATGTAAAAAGTCAGTGAAAGTTTTATCACAGGTTGAATGCAAAATGTTTCAATACAAGCAGTTCAGTCAAATGCATTTTATGCAATATTTAACCTTAATTAAATGTAAACAGGTATGCACTGCTGTGCTACTACAGGTATTTTCAACAGTGCAACTTGAACTTGCACAAAAAAGTTGTGCAGAGCCTTCAGCAATTGGGGCATTTGAAAATAAATTACTGTTAAATTTAAAATAAATAAAACAGTCTTACATCTGATTTAAATGCGGATGGGGCTTTCCTGATAACTTTCTGCAATGCCGCCCTCTTTATTTTACTAACTTACTGCATGCTGAAGGTGACCCCGCTGACCTCACCAGAAAAAACTCAACACCACCATCTAGTGGACTGTAAAGAAATTTATTTTATTATTCTACTAAATAGTATAACAAAAGATCGATACTTGGTGTCTGTGTATCGATACAGTATTGCCGCGGAAAATATCACGATACTATGCTGTACCGATTTTCCCCACCCCTAATATATACAGTGGGTACGGAAAGTATTCAGACCCCCTTAAATTTTTCACTCTTTGTTATATTGCAGCTATTTGCTAAAATCATTTAAGTTAATTTTTTTTCCTCATTAATGTACACACAGCACCCCATATTGACAGAAAAACACAGAATTGTTGACATTTTTGCAGATTTATTAAAAAAGAAAAACTGAAATATCACTTCTCATTAATGTCCCAATGGAAAAAAAAATTATAATGGTGTTAAAATAGGTTGGGTTTCCTTTATATGAATTATAATTTGTTTTTGGTGAAATTTGCTGAAATGAGCCGATCATTTGTTCCGTCATTGGGCTGTGATCTGTTTTAGATTCATTAAGTGCCGTTCTCGTTACACAATGTGATTTAATGCCTTTGCATTTGCACTTTCCACATGTTGTGAGATGAAACTGTAAACAGGTTTCCATCCAACTGCATCCAATCGAGAAGAGCTGAAGATGAAAGCGCTAAATATAGACACACACAGAGAGAGAAGAGTCTGAGTCACCCACTCCATCACACAGACAGAG